GCTTCATACAAAGCCAGCTGCAGGTTTGGGCACTAATCCATTGCTTTTCATGCAGTATCTCTGCTCCAGGCTGACACAGGTTCCACCCATTACCTATATCCTCTGGAACACATGGTCTTGTTGGTGACATGCACATGAAGAGAGTGATTCGTGTGAAGAGATTCCTATGTGGACTTTTTACTGACTCAGCTCAGAGGTGACATATATCGCTTGTACTCTGTTTACAGAGAATGAATCACATGGCCCTGCCCAGCCCCTGCTGGTAGGAGAGGAGGATTGGGAAAGCGGTTGAGAAGTAAAACCATCCATGTTCTCAGAAGAGGAGGAGAACTGAATATTGGTAATGTCTAGACACAGTGCCTATCAAACACAGATATTTATAATTTTTCCAGCTGCTTTATAAGCAATTCTGACAATGTTTCAGAGGCAGTAGACAAGATATTATTATCTCCATTTGAGGAAATGTACTTAGAAAGATTGAGCAATACATGCAACGTCACAAAACTACCTAACATCTGAGATGGGACTAGATTCTGTTTCCCATACTGTCAGCTTCCTAGCGATTAAAAGAATACCATATTTTATCTCAGAAGACCTACATTTGAATCCTGACCTTTTATTTCATTGGCCAGCAATTGAACTTCAACTTTCTTTTACGTATCATTCCTATTTTATTTTATTATTTTTTATTTTATTATTTTCCATGGGTTATTGGGGATACAGGTGGTGTTTGGTTACATGAGTAAGTTCTTTAGTGGTGACTTGTGAGATTTTGGTGCATCCATCACCCAAGCAGTGTACAATGCACCCTATTTGTAGCCTGCTATCCCCTGCCCTCTCCCACCCTTCCCCACGAATCCCTGAGGAGTCTCAACTTTCTTACCTGGATTAAGAGTATTATGGACCTATCTCACAGTTTCCTTGGGAAGATTAAATGAGGGAATAAAAGGGAAAGTATCTATCACAGAGCAAAAAAATACATATATTAGGTAAACAATAGTCTGTCCACTTAATCCCACCATGATATCCTCAAGCTGTTCAAAGACACAAGCTATGAATTTTTTTTTTTTTTTGAGACAGAGTCTCGTACTGTTGCCCAGGCTGCAGTGCAGTGGCATGATCTCGGCTCACTGCAACCTCCACCCTCCCGGAGGTTCAAGCAATTATCCTGCCTCAGCCACCCGAGTAGCTGAGATTACAGGCACCCGCCACCACACCCAGCTAATTTTTTGTATTTTTAGTAGAGACGGGGTTTCACCATGTTGGCCAGCCTGGTCTCGAATGCCTGACCTCGTGATCCACCCACCTCGGCCTCCCAAAGTGCTGGGATTACAGGAGTGAGCCATCGCGCCTAGCCCCATGCATTCTTATATCCTTCCTGGAGCCGGAGGGCTCTGTACAGCACTCAACTAATGTTATAAGCTAAGAAGAAAGAGATTTAATTTTAGGGGAATTCATCTATATGGGGGCTACAAAATGCTACTCCACAAAGTGCTGGGAAAAAATAGAACATTCCCAGAGGGGTGTTACATTTTTCCTAGCACCTAGAGAAGTGCCTAGAACAGAGGAGAAGCTCAAAGTGCAGGGTTGTAAAGACTGGAGGACGTACGTGTGTGGCATGTCAAAAGTGCTGAATGAGTATCATGCACTGTGGTTATTAATCTTTTTGTTTCTTTTGGGTAATGGAAAGACAAGAGAGAGGAAGAAAGGGTAGGAGGCTGGATAAAGAGAGAACAGGTGAAGGAAAACCATTAAAAGCAGGAAAGAGGTATAATTATTGATGCAAAGGATTTTTCAATAATGTCTCTTACCAAGAGAATTCAAAGTAAGGAACTAAATTCATAGGAACAGCAGAACAAGAGCTTAGCCCTACATTTAATGGGACAGGCAAGTGCAAGGAGAGGATTGTAAAGGATGCGAGGGGGGTGCATGGAGAGAGGACAGGCTTGGGCAAGACAAAAGGAGAATGAGGTTTTCCCTGCACTCCCTTCCCCGCCCATAAATAGAAGCTACTGTGGGCTCAAAGCTTGTCTCCTGAGCCGAAGACCAAACCTCAGCTTCGAGATTGGCCCTAATGATCCATGCTAACGGTTCATGGACTCCTTCCATCCAGTGACCTTAGCTGGTTATCTCCATGGTAACAGCACACATCCCAAACTGTTCCTTCCTGTGTGGGAGGAAACATTTCAGAAATGGGGGAAGGCTGAATTTAACAGTGGTTTTTCCCTCTTGTGACCCTTCTTTGGCAAAGCGCACAGTTTTTTGTGAGCACACTGCAGTCTCCTGAGGAAAGCGTCCATAGAAGAGGATGTTTTGTGACTTTATTTGCAGATGCATGCCCAGGACGCATTTTTAAACTAAAAGACTGAATCTGCTTTTCTTTGAGTGTTTCTCGGGGCATTCCACCATTCTTTTAAACAACTCCCCAAAGAGAAAAGCCAGCTTGCTGTCTTCATGTTGAAAGAGAGAGCTCAGAATGGTTAGGTAGCTTCCCCAGAGCTACAGAGCAACACTTAGGCTGAAAAGCCGGACGTAACAAGAACTGAGGGTCCACTGGCTGCTATTTACACCCTACCTCCCTGCATTTCAGGCACAGCCTGAGCCACAATCCTGGCCAACTGGCTGATAGACAGCTCTCCCTCCAGCCCTAGATTCTGCCTCTAGTCCCATGACCCATGATATGTCCTGTGATTTTCTTCAGCACAGTGTGCAGATTTTAAGGTAAGGGTATGAGGTAAAGCTATGCTCTGCCTAAAGCTGGAGTGTAAGTTACATTTTAAGCTCAATGTTCTGTTTGTTCCCCAAAGTTTAGGGTCAGAGCAGCATTTTACAGGATGATAAATTACCCTTGCTTAGCTGAGCCCTAGAAGTGCATGTCTGACCACGAAACCCTCCAATTGCAGCTCTGAAAAGCACCAGGGGGTCCACTTTCCACCCAGAATCATGAGCCAAGAGCACTCATTCCTTGGCCTGACTTCAGCCTTTCCCGGTAATTTTGATCCCATGATTCTACCCGTGAAAGAAATCTTTTACTGTGTAACATCCCTGCCTGACTCTGACGTACAAAGGTGTAATTAGAACAGTGTGGAGCAGGCAGGATGATCTATTTACCTCATCCCTAACATTTAAGTGCTTTCAAAATATGTTTTTAATATCTTAGGTGCACAGGGCCAAATTCCCTTCTCAGTTTTTCACATGCATGAGTAAATCCACACAGACTAAACCCCTTGGGCCTTAGGTTCTGCTTAGAAGTTCTTTTTTTTTTTTTTAAAGAAAATAAATATTCCATTAAAACGACAAAGTGTACTCTGCATATTTTTAGGACAATTAGAGTTCAGAATTCCCTCTTCTTCCGCCCAGGGCTTAAAAAAATAAAAAATTTCTTAACCATTTCCTTACAAAGAATGACATTCAACTGGGACAAATGGAAAGGCTGTCTTGCCTTTTAAAATAATCTCATCTTACATCATCAAAGTACCAACTGGTGGATCAGGACCCTTGATATTGTTTGGGAAGTATCCAGACTCTCCCCTACTGTTGCCAGGTAAATTCTTCAGGCAGACAGTTACTGGTGAACTGTATGGAAAAGTTTACTTGAAACAGAAAAGCCACGTTCACAGGAAAGAGAAACATAAAAGTCAGGATACTTCCTACCATTTGCTTGATTCAAAAACAGATCACGCAAATAAAATCATGAAGAAGAGACTGCCGCAGGCTGGCTATACTCAGCCTGTGGGCAAGAGATATAGAAAGACCAAGTGGGAGGGGCTGGAATCAGTCTCAGTCAGGAGGGGACCAGGAGAGGGAGGAGAGTCACCCCCAACCCCACACTTTGTACTTCACTGCATTGGTAAGTTTGTGTTGCTGTCTGCACAGCAAACTTTTTGCCCGTTAGCCGGTGCTGCGGGGCCACACGTGTGGATATTTGCCAAGACAATATGCACGTCAAACGTTTTCTTGCAACCAAGCTTGGAGCAGCATCTTAGCGGCAGTTGCCCTATCACTGCATGTTCAAAGTCCAAAGGCTCCAGAGCCGCCACATTTAGAAAGAGGAGTCCATGTAAGATCACCTGCAGCTTGTTTTCCATTCATTACAAAGCATTTCAAAGGATGAAAAGCCAATCCTCACTCACTCCACGGTTCAGACAGAAATAAGATATGCCCTCAAGAGATACTGACTTGGAAGGGAAGCAAAATCCAGAGATGGCTTGGGAAATGTGTCTGTGATGTCTTAGAAACTAAGAATTACATCAAAGAATCAAAGAAAGAATTCACCACTTCCCAGGAGGGAAAAAAAAAAAAAAGTGTTTATTTAAATTAAAAAATACTGTGAAAATTACAAAGTGTTAAATACAAAAGACAATTCTATACAACTCAATAGAATAAGAAGGAAGTATATACATCACTTTTTAATAGGTGCAGATAGACTTGCACCAAACTTCAGAATTAAGCAATGGAAAATGTGACAAGGCACATGTCCGTCGCAGTGAAATTTCAGAATTCAAGTGATTCCAGGCAAGAGGCCAAACTTAACTTGGCTTCTTTCAACTTAAACAGCCCCCTTTGGAGTAACTCCACGCTGAATTTTAAAGTGACCGGAGGGCCTTTTTCCCCTAAACATAAATTTCCTTTAGCTGTATGTCAAAGCAGACTGATAAACCTGCTCCTACAGTTAACCCTTCCGTGGGAACAGTAGTGATTGCTGTGTGTCCAATCCATGTAGAGTATTTTTCTTTAAAAAAAAAAAAAAAAAAAAAGTGGCCAGGTATGGTGGCTCACGCCTGTAATCCCAGTACTTTGAGAAGCCGAAGTGGGCAGACCATTTGAGGCCAGGAGTTCAAGACCAGCCAGGCCAACATGGCGAAACCCCATCTCTACTAAAATTACAAAAAAAACTTAGCCAGACATGGTGGCAGGTTCCCATAATCCCAGCTATTCAAGAGGCTAAGGCAGGAGAATCACTGGAACCCAGGAGGTGGAGGTTGCAGTGAGCCGAGATCGTGCCACGGCACTCACTCCAGCCTAGGCGACAGAGCATAACTCCGTCTCAAGAAAAAAAAAGTTATTTTAAATAGAATTAAGTTTGACCTTTTACTTCCTCCTTGTCTTTAAGGGCCTGATGAATCTGCAAAGCTGTTGACCACAGGAATACATGGAGACATTGGGAGCATTCCTGTGTGTTTTTCTTTAGACTTTGGTTTCCCTTAGCTGGGAGTGTTAACATCACACATTCTCCAGAGAACTTTAGAGGAGAATGTGGTGTCTGCCTCTTTGCTTCAATCCTGGGAAAACTACAGCAGGGGTGGGTTGGTAGCTTGCCCTGCCTTCCCCGGTTATATGTATTCTGAATCTCCAACTGCTCCTTTAAATCAGTGGATCCTTGTTCAATCGAACTGGCCAAAGAGGAAATGTTTGGTCCAAGCTTCCTCACACCAGGCTGTGGAGTATTTATCATAGAGCCCTAAAATCTAAAGACATCCTCCCAGCCCCCTGGGGATGAAGATAGTCAGGAGCCTCCTGCAGACAGCGAGCCTCTTGATGACTTGCCCAGGACCACACAGCAAATGAGCTTCAGGGCTGGGGATCAGAAAGCACAGAACTTGGAGCCCAGCTTTGTGCAATCTCCGCCTGAGTATGCCCTTCTAGGTCTCAGCTACGTGACAAAATACCACATTATGTCCTCTCCCAGCTCAGAAAACTAGGCTGGGAAATGGAGCAGCAGCAGCACTAACGGCTTGGCCTTGTTCAACCCCACCTTATGCCTTCCAGAAAGATAAGGAAGAGTCCCCTGAACTACCATCGGGAGTGCAGGTTAGATCCTGGGGAAGCTCTTCTGATCCAAAGAATATCATGCCAGCATGTGATGCCGCATGGTCACAGGTCAGAGTTCAAGGTCATAAGTTAGACAAAAGGTCAATATAGCAGATCATCTGTTATAACCCCAGCCAATGTTAACAGGTTTAAAAGTTACTTTTTTTTTTTTCTTACAGTGTGCAAATGGGCTGGGTTCAGATCTCCAGCTTTCTCCCGTCAAAAATCCTCCTCTAATCCAAAAGAAGCTTGTAACCCACTGTGAAGGAATGCCACAGGTACACAGTAGAGATACTTACAGCCAATCAGATCTAGAAGGACAAAGCTCTAGGCAAAATAGCAAATCACAACTAGTCCCTCCGCATGTCCTAAGCATTTGGCAGCCCTGGGAACAGGCAGGCCCTGCAGGAGTTACCCAGGGCGTCCAGTGAGAAAATGGCAAGCCATGCCGCCAAATTCTCAACAGAACCCCCAACACCCAGACCCCAAAGTCAATGTACACGCTGCACATTTCCATGGCTTTTTCAGTGGAGGGTGCAAACCACAGGCACCTTGCAGACTCCTTGGGGCTGCTGGCTCCGGCTAAGCCTAGCCCCCACCCCACCCCAAATCAGGGGCTTGCAGAGGGTCTCTTCAAAGTGGCAGCCACACTGCGAAAGTGAAACCAGACACTCGCAACATGTCTTTCGTGTCTCTAAGGGTGCTGGCTGATGGAGCCACCGGCGGGGGTCCCGAGGATGCTAGGAATTCTGATGGATGTTCTCCGAGGACCCTTCGCTGCTTTCGATGGGGGGCGTCTCCGAGGTCTCCTCCAGCTCATCGTCTGCGCCCTCCTCCTGAATGGTGAGGTGCACGTCCGGGGAGGAGGACTCGGAGCTCACGCTGTCCCCTTCCATGGAGCAGAGGGTGCAGGACAGCGCGGGCGCCACGCTCTCCTGCAGCATGTTCAGCATCAGGGGCACCTGCACCGACCTCAGGCCCGACACCACGGGCAGCGGCTTCATGGCCTCCCCCCACAGCCGCTCCTCGTCTTTGTACAGCAGCAGGAGGCTGGACTTCTTCTCCCGCCTCTTGGATTTCATGTAGCCCAGCATGATTCCGATCAAGAAAACGCCGTAGAAGGACATGACAACCAGAACGTAGAAGTACTCGTTGCCGTTGCCGCTGCCGCCGCCGGGAGCGCGGGACTCCAGGGGGCTGCTGGAGGCGGCGGTGCCGGGGTGCGTGCTGTTCAGAAGCTCCATCTTCAGCATTGAGGCTGCCTGCACGGCGGGGCCTGGAGAGAAAGCCGCAGGTTAGAGCTCTCCTGCGGGTCCTGGGCACAGAGAGGAGGGGGAGCACGAGGTTGCGGAACTGCAATACCAAAAAAGCTTAAAAGTGCATGAAAGAAGTCGCATCAGAAGTTTCGCCAAACAGCTGACAGGAGTGAGCTATGAGGACTCGGAGTGCCCGAGACAGAAGCCCGGGGAGGGTCACTGAGAAAAGTAAGAAGGACTTTTTTTCTTTTTCTTTTTTTTAAGTGTACAAGTCAGTCCTATTTGCATTTCACAAAGTGAACAGTATTACTTTGATATTAAAAAAAATCAGTGTAAGACAGGAGCATAAAGTAAATAATATCTTTAAAATTAGGAAACATATTTTAACTGAGCAGAAAGAAAGTTTACATTGTGTTTCCTAAACCCAACTATTTTTAATTCAAAACAATGTTTCCTTCGAACAAAGAAAAGCAGAAAGAAAATAAAGGGAAAATATTCATCTATTAGTTGGGAAAAATATCCCTCTTTCAAATGTTTCTGAAGCAAAGTGTAGCCTTGCTCACTTACCAAGGCTGACAGTTTGTCCCAAGTTTTGAATTCCCAAATCGTCCAGTCCAAGAGGGTTCTTCTGCTCTGTCCGACTCTGCGCTCTGACAGCTCCGCTGCTGCCGTTGGGATATATAGTCAAGAAGTGCGTCGTCACGTGTTCTGGGAGGAAAACTTACAACAGAGGGTGATTGTGGCAGAGTGAGCAGTAAACTGAAATCACTGCCGTTCAACTCCCTGAACTTTGCAGCTGCGAAAAGAGAAAAAGACTGGGAAGTGAGAACTGCTCCTCACACCCCAGCGCCCAGCCAGGGTTTTCAGGTGGTGGTGAGGATGAGTGAAGAGAGGAGAAAGGAATGTGCTGTGTTGGAACCGTTACCCCAAAATCCACTCTCACTGAAAATTAGCTCATGCTTCATCCAGCTCTTGGGGAATAACCATTATTGGGCTACAGGTTTTCAGAGGCAGCTGAATCCCATTATCTGGATGAAAGACAGTTGGATTTACAGTAAAGGAACTGGGGCTTTGGTTTCAGTTCTTCCGCTTGTTATGCAAATTTCATAAATCCTTCCTTAATCTTTCCACACCTCACATTCCTCGTCTGTAAAACCGCTGTGGGGGGGGGTCTTCTGCAGGTAGAATTATATAAACCACGTGACCTTTTGAGTCCCTTTCAGCTTAGCCCTCTAAAAGCAGGGATTCTACCTGCCATCCTTATCAAGATCACAAACCTATGTTTATAATAGTTATTTTTTAAAACATCTTCCAGGTTCTTTTCAGTGGTCTGCATGAAGTGGAAACATGTGGTAAAGATACTATGGGCTGGTTTTGTTCATCCTGCCATACACAGCTGCTCCTCCAAAGCCTCATGCAGAGACCATTCATACATCTCTTTGCTGTTTCTGACAGGTCAGGGGAGGAGCAGGACTATTTCCGAGTGCAACTAAGCACGGTTCAAAATTTTAAACCTAGGTAGACCCTGTGTTTAAATGGCTGCTGTGATCAAAACTGGAAGAGGAATTGCAGGCTTTGATGTCAGTCTCTCTGCTTCCTGGGCTGCTTATTCTAAGAGGCTTTCATTCTAAGTGGAAGGAAACCGGGAGGGACCCGCTCCCTCGTCTGTGGCCTGTGGATTGCAGCCAGACTGTCTTGTGGGGCCAACTCTAAAGGAAACATCTCTCATGGTTCTGCTGTAATCAAGCACGCATGAGACATCCATCTCTCCAGACTGAACATATATAGCTTCGGCACTGGAACTTTCACTGCTGCTACAGGAATCCCCTGGGTTGGCACCTGATCCTGATTCTAAGAAGACACCTATGGGAAGAGTAGGAATATTAACTCAATGCTGCTGTTCTTCCCGTTTGACTACTCACCTGTGCTCGCCCATAAATCCCCAGCTGGCACTGGAGGTATCAACCATTGACCACTCCAGCACCAAGATCATCCACACAGTGGAACTGTGCCCACATCAGTAGGCACCCTCACCATTGTGTCAATACTTAAAACCCTCCATAGCTACCTTGGCCACAGTAGACTTGGCCTTTGCAACCTGTGTCCATCATAAGCACTAGAACACTCCATCTACACCTAAGCCTACAGTGGAATGTCTGGGACACTAGAACAAGAGAGGCTCATGAAAGATATGCCTGCAGATTGTCGACCCCGTCATTGTTGATTGTGTACCTTAGAACATACGAGATTGGTCATCACCCAGGGATTGTCCAACACCAAAGACTGGAAGCTTTGAGTAGGCAGAGAGGAGGTGGGGATAGGGATTACCAGATTCAAGGAGCAGGAAGTACAAAGGCTGATTTCAGGAAGCCAAACAGAGGCTAAAGTTTTAAACAAAATAAATCCCCAAACCTGAGCCAACAGTCCCAAGGGAGTACAACCAAGAAAAGACATGAGTGTGAGGAAACATCTAGAATAAAGTCCAAAGGACAAAACAAGTCAAAGCCAAAGGAAGAATAAAACTCATCGCAAGAGTCAGGGAGGGAACACCCCAGACGAAATTCTGGGCTGCCTGCTTGGAGTCCCCGATGTCCTGATTCCCATGGACTCCCTGCATGGATGCTTCTACTAGAGTTAAATGGGGACAGGTGCAGTAGCTTATGTCAGTAATCCCAACGCTTGAAGATGCTGAGGTGGGCAAATCACTTGAGCCCATGGGTTTGAGACCAGCCTGGGCAACACAGTGAGACCCTACCTATACAAAAAAAAATACAAAAATTAGTCAAGCATGGTGGCACGTGCCTGTAGTCCCAGCTACTTGGGAGGCTGGAGTGGGAGGTTCACTTGAGACCAGAAGCTCAAGGCTGCAATGAGCTCTGAACATGCCACAACACTCCAGCCTGGGTGACAGAGCAAGATCTCTAAATAGAATAGAATAGAATAGAACAGAATAGAATAGAATAAAATAGAATAGAATAGCATAGTTAAATGAAATGATGCAAAGAAAGCACCATGTCTGGCAGGACGCGCACATTCAATGTCTGATTTTAGTCATCATTGTTAGGAGTACCCTGTTGCTCCCAAGGGCTTCAGGTTGCTTCCTGTCACGTGTGTGCCCATCTCCAGACTTTTTATCAATGCTGCTTCCCCTGTCTGTCACTCCCAGGAATGGAATTTAAGAGAAGGGAATTCCAAATTTAAAACACATAGCTCAATCTTCTTCCCAGCCCTTATGCATGACAGCGATTGTGAGGATGATGGCAGTGAATAATGGCATAAAGAATGAGGGGGAGGGGACGCATCTAGAAAGTGTACTCTGTCGGGAGAGGATGGGGCTGCACAAGAATTATTAATTATATCTATACCAGGCCTTGGTTTTAGGAAACAGCAATGTAAAAGAAATAAATCAATTTTGGCTAGCATTTCCATTTCCTGAACAGTGTCTTTTCAGGAGCAAACATAGCTTATTCTGATGAAATCCAATTTATTTTAAATGTTGTGGTTGTGCTATTTGAATTTTATCTAAGAAATATTTGCTTAACCCAGTCATGAGGATTTTCTCCGATTTTTCTTCGAGAAGTTTTATGGTTTTAGCCTTACATTTAGGCCTATGATACATTTCAATTTAATTTTTTTTCTACAATGTAAGATATGGGTCAAGGGTTTTTTGAGGGGGTTGTTTGTTTTTGTTTTGCATATGGATGTCCAATTGTTTCAGCATTATTTGTTGAAAAGACTCCCTTTCCTGTTTAAAATTATCTTGGAAGCTTTGCTGAAAATCAATTAACTTTCTATATGCAAGTCTATTTCTGAACTCTTCATTCTGTTCCTTTGATCTATCTATCTTTGCATACTATTATTCTGTTTTGAAAAATCCATTTTAAAATTGTATTTTAAATGAGTCTAAGATACGCTGCAGTTTAAATCTAGCTCGGTGTTTTTTATGTACCAAGTACACATAAGTCCTGTGAAGCCAGGTATTATTGCAACCATTTCATAGATAAAGAAACTGAAGGTCAGAGAGGCTAAGCAAGTTGCTCAAGTCAAATCACTAGTAGTAGTCAGCACTTGAACCCAGATCTATGCAACTCCAAAACCCATCCTTTTTCCACTACCCTTTGTCTCATTGAATGGGAAACAAGAAACTCAAAAAGAGTAGAAGGTGAAATGTAGATATTTTTCCAACTTCTTTGAGTCTTCATAAAGCTTTTCTTAAAAAATGTGAATTCTTACATACCGAGACACTCGCACATAAATCAAACATGCCACTACAAGTTCTTTCTCGTGAATTCATGTTACTTTAGATACTGGAGGCTGCACCAACCTCAGCACGTTCTAGAAGTTATCAGTGAAGCAGTAATACTCTTACCCTATATTTATGTTGTTCATAGTACAGCAGTTTATCTGCCTACATATACTGCCTTGATATAATTTGGCTCTGTGTCCCCATCCAAATCTCACCTTAAATTGTAACCCCCATGTGTCAAGGGTAGGACCAGGTGGAGGTAATTGAATCATGGGGGCTGTTTCCCCCATGCTGCTCTCATGATAGTGACTGAGTCTCAGGAGATCTGATGGTTTTGTAAGCATCTGGCATTTCCTCCGCTTGCACTCACTCCATCCCGCCACGCTGTGAAGGTGCCTGCCTCTCCTTTGCCTTCTGCCATGACTGTAAGTTTCCTGAGGCCTCCCCAGCGATACAGAACTGTGAGTCAATGAAACCTCTTTTCTTTATGAGTTACCCAGTATCAAGTTTGTCTTTATTAGCAGTGTGAGAACGGACTAATATAAGCCTGTTCTGGTCTTCTTGTTTTAATGTGTTGTTTTCTTTCTTTCTTTTTTTTTTTCTATTTGATCCTGACACACACTTTCTCTAGAGCTTTGAGTACTTTCATTTCCTGATAACGTCATTTTTACCAGATGACCCTGGAGTCCCTGGCCACACATCTCTGAAATTATGTTAACAGCTTCTGTGACTAAACAAAATCTATGCTGGGATAGCAGCAAGGCTGTGAATCTCATCAGATTAAACGTAAGTCTGGAGTCCAGAGATCTGACCCAGCTCAGCCTTGCTGGTGCTACGTGACTGGCTGGGTTGCGTAATTGCTCTGTGTTTCAGTTTTAGCTACCCTCAGGCATGTCAAAAGTAGCATCATGAATTGTCTCAAGATCTTGAAAAATGTCCCATAATCCACTAAACTGTCCCCATCCTAAGCAGACCAGGCTTTGGGTCTGGTAGAGTATTGCAAAATGAAATTCTCAATGCCCACCACTGGTTTTGCTTTTCCCAGAAACTAGTCTGAAAAGTTCTGTCTGGGAACTCGAGCAGTGGATCATCCATTCTAATGCCCTGAGTCACCCTCCCTGGACACATACTTCTTAGCATTCCTTTCACTAGAAATCAAACAGGGCTTGATATCTTATAGGTCCCTAATAAGGCCCACAGGCCCTCCCTGTAACACCAGCTATGCCTTGAAGGATGTGGCTATCAGGAGGTCCTGCTTAGATATCATCCAAAGGAGGTTAGGAGGAAAGAATTGAAACTCCTAAAATTAACAGTAAAGTTGGTATTAATTCACCTTTGTTATGTATTGTTCAAGCATTTTTTATTGCATTTTAGGTTTTGGGGTACCTGTGAAGAACATGCAAGATTGTTGCATAGGCACACACATGGCAGTGTGATTTGCTGCCTTCCTCCCCATCACCTATATCTGGCATTTCTCCCCACGCTATCTCTCCCCAACTCCCCACCACCCGCTGTCCCTCCCCTATTTCCCCCCAACAGACCCCAGTGTGTAATGCTCCCCTCCCTGTGTCCATGTGTTCTCATTGTTCAACACCCACCTATGAGTGAGAACATGTGGTGTTTGATCTTCTGCTCTTATGTCAGTTTGCTGAGAATGATGGTTTCCAGGTTTATCCATGTCCCTACAAAGTTCATGAACTCATCGTATTTTATGGCTGCATAGTGTTCCATGGGGTATATGTGCCACATTTTCCCTGTCCAGTCTATCATCGATGGGCATTTGGGTTGGTTCCAGGTCTTTGCTATTGTAAACTGTGCTGCAATGAACATTCGTGTGCATGTGTCCTCATAGTAGAATGATTTA